GGCCTGATAAGAGAGGAAAGGGTTGCTGTAACAGACTGCAGGGCTGTGGCTCAGTCAAGTAGAAGCAGCTACAAACTCTGCTGTCATGTTACTAGTGTCATGCCACCAGGCAAAACCCAATCTGTCAGTTTGAGATAGTTCAGCTCTCCTCTATATGTTTGGTCCCTCTGTGCTATCATGTCTCACTGAAACGTGCAGATGGGAAAGTCACCAATGTATTCAGCAGTCCCCATTTGGGGTGATTGGTTTCCAAGGGAACAGACAAAGACAAAAAGATGTTTGTTTTTTTTTTTGTCTTGGTGAAAATCAACTGAATTTTAATCCTGCCATTAGGTTCGGTACAGGCTTTAATTGAGAAGTGGGGGATTTTGATTAAGACGTCTGTTCCAGACTGTTCAACAGACCGTGGTGTCAAGTGAATGTGTGTGGGAATCTGAAAGGAAATGGTAGAAAAGAAAAAAAAGAAAAAGAAAAAAAACGTAGGTTTATCACCCATGAAACATGCAGGTAACTGGGGTCTTCAGATGTCAGCAAATTGACTGGATTACATGAATGACTAGATTTTGCAGTTTCAAAAACAGCCCTTTGAAAAATGACAGCATTTCAAATTGGTAAGAGCAGGCATGCTCAGGAATTCTGTGTGTAGCGTGCTGCTGAGTGGCATCACATCAGTTCATTGAAAGCTGCATGTGTAACTTTATTATCCAGAATAGATGCAAAACAAATGTTCTTTCTGGACTATAAATGGCACTTGTTTTTCTGGCTGCTCCTGCGACAACTTATAGTCTGGTATGAATTATGTTTTATCCAGATGCATTCTTAGCACATTCTGTAAATAAAGTCAAACTGAACCCTTATTTTCATCATTCAAACTCTATATGTTTTTTTTTAGTTTGTTCATAAACATAAAATATATAAAAAAGAGTTTAGCCTTAGCACAGAGCTTGAAAGAGATGACCACAGAGTGTCAGGGGGTGGGAATTCAGCACTGCGGTTATTAGATAAATCTTGTTCTTGTCTCTGATTATGTTCATGCAGAGCTTCTGCTCCTCATTTAACTTGTTAAACGATGCAGACAACATGAAGATGACAGAATATAGACTGTAGTGATGGAAGTTTCATTGCAGTTTTAAAAGATGAGTTTGAAGGTTAAAAAAAATACATTTCTCTAGAAATGACTCAGACGTTTGACCTGCAGGACAGACTGAAAAAGACTCCTTCATTAATATAAATTGGCTGATTATGATGTGCAGATTGGGTTTGCTAAGAATCAACTACTGTGGTGACATTCAGATACATTTCAAATTGGTAGTGGGGGGGGGGGGCAGTGGGTAAACAATCACATTAAATATTACCAACAGTTTTGAACATTTATTAATAATTTTTGAGATATCCTGAGGCATCTCAGTAATCCAGGTAGAAAAATTCAAAAAGAAAAAAAATCAGTAGGTCCTCTGGATGGGTTCTTCTTTAGTGAAACGTTTCATCTCTCCTCCAAGAGACTTCTTCAGTCTGATGAGTTTCAGGTGAACTCAGCCTTATAAGCACTGCCTCCACATGGACAAACAGGTTTGTCACATGCAAAAGAGGGACACTGCCTAACCATAGGCTTGATTAGCTCTATTGTTCATTGTTAAGTGATGGCCCTCTTTTGCATGTGACTAACCTGTTTGTCCACCACGTGGAGGCAGTGCTCTTAAGGCTGAGTTCACTGCCTTCACCTGCTTATTTTTTCTTTTTGAATTTTTGAGATAGTTCCAACACATTCTCAACAAGACATCAACAATGGCTTTAAATCAAACCGCTTTCAAAATTTCTTCTACTTTATGTCTGAGTCAGACAGAGCCTGACAAAATGATTCAGATCATGTTGGAGTACAAGTCTTTTACTTTTTAATTGCTTTAGCCTGGGACCATGGGGAAAAATAAACACTATCTATTGAAATTTTACAAAGCTAATGATGGTGATTATTTTCAAACCAAATTGTTTTTGCAACAGTTTTACACAACACAACATGCAGTACACAGTTTGAGTCATAAGGGACAGAAGAGGAGACTCACGGTGGCAACGATTCTGTGAATGGCAGCCGAGGCCATGTCCTCTCCTTTAGGCTGGCCCACCAGAGTCATACCCAGGTACTTCACATTGAACACCATCCCTTCCAGCAACGTCTCCTTGGTGTCCGTCCAGTTTTCTGGCAGCTCTGGTTGGACAAAATGACACATCACAAACAGAGATATGTGTTTTGATACAACTTAAGATGGGTAAATGATCCAAAGGTAACACAAAAAAGCCTACATTAAATATAATTTGAGGTGCACTGATAAATCTGCCACCCGATTTCCTTCATTTTGGGAGATCGGCCAATACTTGGAAAAGATCGGTGGAAAAGATTAGCTTTTTATCTACCTCCACAAAGGTCTGAAAATCAGCCACTGTCTCCTTTCACTCTGCTGTGAGCACTACCTCATGTCCAGTTAAAACAAGTTTATATTGTTTCAAGGCTATTGTTCAATTTTTTTCAGAAAAGTAAGATTGGAACATTGAAGGTGCATTGTGTTGAAAGTGTATTGTGACCTTATAACACCCAACAGTGTCAGTTATTTAAAAAAAAAGGTGGTATAGGCAAAAATAGGAAAATTGCAATGGGTGCACACCTAAATATAAGATAATAAAATCTTTTTAGCATTCATATACAGTATATTCAATGTATATAGCACAAACAAACACTTTAGGTTGACAGCCATTATATTTGAACAGACTCCTATGGAAATATGAGGAAAAACAAAACAGAGCTCAGACAACTGTTTCACAAGAAGAAAAAAAAAGTTTTTGATCAAGTATACAGAATGTCTGCTATATCTTGTTATTTCAAACAAGCAGTACCACACGTCTCTCGTCAGTAGTGTTGGGGAATGGCACCCATACTGGGGGGCTGAAAATATCTCTCAGCAACACCTGGACACCCTGCAGGTGAGCAGCAGGGGGAGAAGAATAAACAAATCTGTACAACATTCTGAGACGAGGGATACAGAGTCACACTATCAGAAGCAATACACGTTGTTTTCATAAAACATGTGCCATAATGACAACACAAATACAATTATTCTATGATTGTATATGTTATTATGGTAAACTATAAACTAATAAGGTAATACGTTAAAGAGACATTATTAGCTAAATTCATGGTCATAGCCCTCAAAATGTCCAAAATTATAAAGAGTGAAACTGGCATTAATTTCTCCACATGGTTTGAGCCATCTGTCACCGGCAGACCCCAACCAGCTGTGAAGGTGAGCAGCATCCCCTCTGCGCTCCTTCTAACAACTCTGAATTATTAACTTCTCCTCCATCACACTGTGGAGACCGTTTGAAAAACAGAAGGAACGTTTGGATTTATATAATGTTTATGATTATGTGAGCTGGTGATCAGCATCATTAAGCTGTAGCTGGAGAGAGCTGGACATTGATTGTTAAGAACAAAAAACTGTTTGCCCGTGGAAAAGAAATCATTAAGGTATTCATGAAATGTGAACAATGTGGTGACCGATGTCCTAAAGATGTTTGAATTAGGGCTAGGTTAAAAAAAATCGATTTAATCGATCTGGATCGATTCTCATTCAAATTTGGGAAAATCGATTCATAAGTCATGAGATTGATTTTTCCCCATGGGTGTTGAGTGCGATGAAGCAGCAGGTTTCCGTGTTGTGTGTCACTCCTGGCTTGCCATAGGTTTACATCCAGTTGATGGTCAGTGCTAATGTTAGCTCCCGACAACAAGTTGTCTGGGGTAAAACAAAAGAAACTAAGGAATCACTAACATTAACAGCTGATTCTCAGCTGAACTTAAAGATAACAGAGGCCATGACAACCTTTGGATGCAAAGATTTGCGCTCAGACGAGGTAGCGGGAAACGAAGTTTTGAGCGGCTTGAACCAAAACTACAGTATGTAAACATCTGACTGAAACTGTTCTCTTCAGCATGTATAAATGTGTGAAAGATGACAGTCTAACAAAATTGTTTAGTTTTGTTACCAATATTATTTATAAATTTTAGAAACATCTTAATGTAATTCACAGTGATGGAATGTTTTAGCTGAAGTACTCTTTTTTCTTTCTTCTCGTTAATAAGTTTTATTGAACAGAAGATAACAGAAACATTACAAATATACAATTTTCATACACTCAAAAGAGTGGCATAAGTATACACTTATATTATCCCACCTCTTCCCCTGCAACCTTATTCCATCACTTCTTAGTGATCAAGAAAATTATTCTTAGCTTCTTAAAAAAACCTAATGTATCAATAACACTTTCTCTTGAAATTCCTTTTTGGTTTAAACCCAATGAAATTTGGCACAGTTTTGTTTCAAGATTAAACTCAAATTAACAAGTTTGCCCTTTATGTTTATAATTTTACCAATGCACCAAGTAAGGATTAGTTTCTATTTGCAGAATTATTTCCTTTGAGAATGCCTTTTATATCAAAGTAAATGTGTTACTGCATGAATCGTGAATCGCCATGAATCATAACAAATCAGGTCCGTGAATCGAATCGAATCGATTTGGGAAATCTGAATCGACACCCAGCCCTAGTCTGAACAAGCCTAAGCTTCCCTGCTGGCACGCCACTATGGCACAATATTAGTGACAAAATTAGGACTATCACCCCCTCAATGGTGGCTTCATCCTTGTAGCAGGAGGCTATGTTTATTCCAATCTGGTTAATGATTAGTCTGCACTGGTAACTAAGCAGCCAACACTGGCAAATGAGAAAGAGACTACTCATAAGCATTAGCATTGGAGAGGCTAGTGACTAGCATGCCTAGGCTGGCATTAGCATTGGAGAGGTTGGTGTTAGCAATGGAGAAGCTAAAATCTTGCATAATTTTTCTCATTAAAATTACTTTTCGCACAATTTTACAACTTTTTTTCTGGCAATATTGCATCTTTATTCTGCTAATAATTTGACTTTATTAATATTGACTTTATTATATAT